GACCCTAGTTACGCAATTCTGTAAACAGAGGGATAATTTATTTATTATTTTACTTCATAAAGTAACCTACTGTTTACCACTTTTTCCTTGGAGGGAGTTATGATGTGGTTTTTTTTGGCCACAGGATGTATAATGTCGTTTTTCTTTTAATTTCACTGTATTGAGGAGATGCCTTAATTCTAGGAACTTTTTTTTAGTATTCATCAAAAACTCTGTAACGTGGAGAGCCCTCGTAACTTAAATTACAATTACAGAATTGTGTAGGTGTATATTTAAGTTCGGTTAATTCCGAGGTTAATTCCATATAACGATTTCTTATAGTTATACTGTTAGTACATTTTTCATTGAGGGAAAGTTATTGCGATGTGGTTTTTTGCTGGAACATGAACCAAGGAAAATCTTTGCGATGAATGTGCGCATGCGTAGGCTTCACAATATCAACTTTTTGGTGAATTAATGTATTTTCTTGAAATTTTAACCACAGATACTTAAAGGCAAACAAACATCGCGTATAGTAAAAATCAGATGTGCGCATGCGCAGCCTTTTTATTTATGGAGATACTGTTACACATTTTAACTAAAGACGCTTCTCGTAAAGGTAAACATATCGGATATTGTAAACATTAGTAGTGCGCATCCGCACAGTCACGTTATAGACATTTCTTAGACATTTTAACCATAGCTGCTTTTAATAAAGCATAGCCCACATAGCTTTGCGTGGAATGAATGGAAATGCGCTAAACTTACTCGCCTTAGGACGAAAACCTTTTTACTTGTTTCATTTACTGGGTTGAATGAGATCCCTTAATTATTATTTAAGTTAGAAATTCAGAGCTGTAATTCCGACCACGAAGGCGGTAATTTAATTTGATTTTTATTAGCATTTCTCACAGCAGTGGCGGAATGAATTGTTAATAAAAATCTCATCCAGCAGTCGTTTGTTTAACAATGGCGATTTTTTCTTCGTGTACGTATGATACTCGATAAAGATTTAAAAGTAAAGTTCACTTTGTGTTTCGTTCCGTGTCAAAAAGCGTAAGTCTATTTGAACAGTTCAGTCTGAACTATCGAGGGTGCTTAATAATAATTTTTGTCAGGCTATCTGAAGTGCCTACCTCAGTTTGCTCGAAGGCGCCCTAAACAAGAACTTTATCCCCCTTGTATAATGCAGTCGATATCGATAAAAGTAACATTGGAAATATAGATGGAAAAAGGGAAATTGCTCTCACAACTGCCTTCAATTTACAATCCACCTACACGCGTACGCTACAAAACTGAGTTACAATAAAATCTTGATCGCTCTCCAATTTAGAGGCGAAAAAAAACACGAAATTTATAACTTACCTACATCGTAAACTCACTTCCTGTATAAGTCAGGGTCAAATGTAACAACCCTTCGATCCCTCAAGTGTAGGAGGCTTAATTTTTACTTTTGACTCTTGCTCTTCGGGTTTAAAGCGATGACAAAACCCATATTTCTCCCCCGAAAGGCCATTACATTAATTCGCACTTAATTTCAGATTTGACGACGACAACCAGGTGATGCTGGGTAGTCCAGCCGGGCCTGGGGGAGCCTCCCAGAGGGGACTCTGGCCCTTAGCTCCCGCTCCAGCGCCCCCCATCTCCAGCTTTACGACCGACGGTAAGTTTTTTTCCGAATTTAAATTTAAGCAAAAATGTTTAGCGGCGGTAAGTAGATATTTTTAAATTAAAACGACCTGCTGGGGTGTGTTATTACTATGATTAAAGCTTTTTCAAGTTTAAACAAACAATCCTTTGTGTTTTTCGTTTTATGCTTATTTGTGAAGTAATTTAATGCAGTTTCGTAAAGGTGTGTATTTTTAGCGACGTCATCGTTCGGAAAAAAAGTGGATCTTTGTAATCAAGTTAGTCGCCTACGGGCTCTTCGTCTCCACCCCCTACCTTCTCGAGATAGCTAAGTGCAGAAATTACGTTATGCGTTGTCGGGGCAACTGTAATTCTTATATCCCCCAGTCAGCTTTATTAATGCGGGTGATCTCTGGGAATAAAAAGCGTTTCTATTTCGTGCAAGCAAAATCTACCGCAAAAGTGCAAACGTTTCCTTTTCCAATACCTGTCGATTCATGTTAATAAAGAAGTTCAATGGCAGTCGGGAAGCTGAGGTATACCAAAGAGTCATTATTAGTTTTACCGAATCTTCATAGTGGGAGCGGCCCGTGAAAACAAACGGCATTTCGTATTAAAATTGTGCCACTTGGAACACATGTTCCCTAGACCTATTGGAGTGATTTGAGTCGCAGAGCCGGAAGTTCCGTCCTTTAGGATTGAAAATGGCGCCAATTTTCAAAATTGAGGCGAATTTCAGGAAATATCTATTTTTAGAGCGATTTTTACGTTTAGGGTGACGTTTACGAGGTTTCCGAGGGTGAAAACGACAAAAACAATATCCGAAGCTAATTTCTGTGTGGGAAGCATGATTTTATGATATCTTTAACGTCCGACAGGATTCGAAAGTTTCTTGGAAAGTTTGACCGATTTTCGTGGTTGAGGTGGCGTTTTTGCGATTCTTTTGGGTGAAGATTACCAAAAAAGACCCATTAAAGACCTTTTTCGATATCCAAAGTAGGCATTTGCGCTCCTATTTGACAACGCAAACGTCATATTTTTCGAGGAATGTCAATAAAAAAACGCTCGCTCCCCAAATTATAAACTATAAATCAAATGTGCATTGCTCAGAGTACCCAATGACAACGAGTAATAGACATCTTTCATTTGGGCATAAGATTAAAATAATAATCCATATTTGAGTGAAAAATTTAAATTTATGGAAATGTGTGAACTGCTCGCTTGTAGAAAAAATCTTGTGTGTAATTCGAGCCCAAATTGATTGTTGATTTCAAGAGATTAGCGCGGAAAATGTCTCTTTCAATCGACAATATATCATTTTGCGCTCTTAATACACAAATAGCTATTTTTTATGAATTTTTAAGTATTTTGAATAAACAGGTCGAGGTAAACTAACTGCAAAGGTGAAACTTGTTCATCGAATTCGATTTTTAACTAAAAATTGTTGATTATTGAAACATATTTACAAGTAAAAAGTCATAACCATAAGTCATCAAAGGGGAATGCCTCATTGCTCAGATCTCCTGTTGCAGTCGAGATATAAAAAAATATTTAGTTAAGATCATTAAAAATAAAATCTGACAGTCATGTTTATAAAATAAGCATGTACATTTTTGCAGTGTTCTTAACAGTTAGACTGTAGGGTGCACGGAAGGCTGTTTCGCAAGTATGAAGAACTTATTGTCTCACAAGTTCACTAGCAGCCGCATTTCCTTAGGATTGTGAGCTCCTTTCATATTTACACCTATTTGATATAGTTTGGTTCCCAGCCCACTTTGCCTCGTGTCCATCCCCAGTTCTCCAGTTGACGGATGTGGAGGGCATTCAGAAGGATAGAAGCAGTGCCCCCACAACACATGACCTGCTTGATTGGGGACATGAACTGCAGTAATTTATTTTTGGTACAAAATAAATATTTTCCCATATTAGTAGTGGATTTCTCCTGTGCTTCGGGGTCATAGAGAACGGTAGTAAATTCTTCCAAAGTTTTAATTGTTTTTTTTTTGTTATTCCTCTTTGTGAATTGGAGAGTTCAAGTAAAGCTGGTGTCACGTCCGGGCGTTTCATCCAAGCCATAAACGGCTTCTTGTTTCCAATAGAATTGAAGCAGGGCATTGTGGCACAACCTGTGTACCAATGAAAGCCTCGTAGGGCTTGTGAATTTTATTCTCCAAGTGCTAATACAATCAAATGGGTCGCTATATATCGACGCTTGGCCCCAACACCTGACAGATATCCTTCTTTCAGTCCGAGTTCTTTCAGAAAAAAAAACAAATAATATATGACCATCAGAACCTCAGTATCTCAAGACTGGACGAGGATGTTCTGGGCTCCATGCTCCACCATATCTTTCGCATGGAGGATGATTCGTCCGTCCGCCTCTTCTTGCGTAACTTGTATCCCATTAAAAGGGAAAGCGTTCTCAATCGTAGGAAAATGCGGCTGCAAGTCAACTTGTGAGACCATGAGGTGCTCATGCTTACGAAACAGCCTTCCCTGCACCCTACAGAGTTCTAACTGGCAAGAACACTGTAAAAATCGCAGCCGAGTATGTACATGCTTATTACCTATAAACATGACTGTCAGCGTTTTATTTTTAATGATTTTAACTAGATATTTTTTATAGCTCGACTGCAACAGGAGATCTGAGCGATGATGAGGCATTCCCCTTTGATGACTGATGACTTTTTACTTGTAAATACGTTTCAATAATCAACAATTTTTAGTTAAAAACAGGATTCAATGAATAAGTTTCAGTTTTGCACTTAGTTAACCTCTATCTGTTTATTCAAAATACAAAAAATTTCATAAAAAAGGCCTTTAATGGGTCTTTTTTGGTAATCTTCACTCAAAAGAATCTCAGAAACGCCACCTCAACTACGAAAATCGGTCAAAACCTTTGAATCTTGTCGGACGTTAAAGATATCATACAATTGTCCTATACATGATAAATGAAACATGCTTCCCACACAGAAATTAGCTTTGGATATTATTTTTGTCATATTCACCGTCGGAAACCTCGTAAACGTCACCCCAAACGTAAAAATCGCTCTAAAAACATATATTTCCTGAAATTTTCAAAATTGGCGCCATTTTCAATCCTAAGGGACGGAACTTCCGGCTCTGCGACTCAAATCACTCCAATAGGTCTAGGGAACATGTGTGCCAAGTGGCACAATTTTAATCCGAAATGCCGAATAATACCAATATTTATCACGAGCCGCTCCCACTATTCAGACGTAATCAAACTTGCTCCTCGGAATATTCACACAGGCACTATCTAGTCTGAAAATACGCTCACGAAGGCTCAATCATATTCCTCCATTCAGGATCAGAAAAAAATTTAAAAATCAGCGTCATATTCAAATTTGACATCTTGCATTTGTTAGAGAGATTGTTTCCAATGTGATCATTTAACAACGAAAAGTATAAACCAAACTTGATATCGATTTTCCCACTTTCAGTTGATTTAATTTGATGTGAATTATTTTACGACACCTGAGCTACCGTCGAATCGGACAACCACATCAACGGTTCGTTCAGTACTGCTTTGATTTAAGGATGAAGTTTTTGGAAACGAAAAATTGTCCATAAAGAAATGTATAATATATTTGGGGTATTTTTGAAATCCTTTGGGCAAATCTATGAGATACTGATAGTCCAGGATGTAACTGTTTTCTGTTTTATTAACGATCGTATATGATTTTTTATTGCTGTCTGCCTATCTGTTTGTCCGTGTGCACGATACAAATTTCCTTAAGATCGCTGTTGTTTGTTTTTCAACTACGTAGTTGTGAAAATGATGGATCCGCGAAGATCTCGAGGATCGTTCAGTATTCAGTCATATCGGATTTATATTACTGTAACATTCAGTAAATGCAATACTGATCAAGTTACGGTCCATTAGAAATAGTTCATCGAGCCCAAAAATAGAAACGTTCAATGTTATAAATAACAGTCGGTAAGGTGTATAGAAACTATTTTAAAGAAAAATCTTTAAAATTGTCACCCTTATAGGCTTTTCAAAATTAAATTGCCTATTACAGATTCTAGAAGAGTCTTGGAGTCCTTGTAAATTTTCTTTTGTTACTTCGCCCAATGAAAATAAAATGTGAATCATCTCATCACGATATAATAAATTTGTGAAATTTGAATTCGTAAATAGATAAAAGAGATAACAAAAATGATTACTTAGCATAGAAAGTATTTGCTCCTATTAAAAATCACCCCTGAAAATTCGTTTACGAAAGGTCACCCTTAGACGCCCTCAAATAAATGCATCCCGAAATATTCGCTTTCCAGAAAACTCCACGCGTGCGCTACCGTAATATTCCCCACATAAATATGCGCCTCATAACAACTTCTCGTAGCGGAAAATTTGTCGCAATTCCCTCAAATACAGATTTTCTCCGAAAATTCTCTTACAAAAGCTCGCCCTTATTCACCTCCAAGAAAACTCACCACGTGCAAAATTCAAGCAAAATTTAATTTACCCTTTTTCCTGTCTAGGAGCTCCCTAAAAAATGTTCTCGCAATATTCTAGTCACATGCTTTTAGAAATTTTCTTCAGACCATCTTAGAAATATGCCTCGAAGTGTACCTAGGAAATTTTATCAGAGCCTATAATAAAATTTCCCCGTAGGCTGCTTTATTAAAGCGTCCTAGTACTATTGAAAAATCTTTACTGTATTTAAGAAGTGTCCTTTTAGAGATTCCTAGAAACAGCTCCAAAAAACATCTTATTGGAGGTTAGTTGCTAGAGAGAATCTTTTTTGAAAATATTCTTAGGAATTGCCTTAAAAAAAATCCCAAAGAAATAATTAATAAATAGTTCGCGAACCATACTTTTTCAGTGGTACTAAATTAAAGTATTGCTATACAAAATGAGTATAACATAATTGTTTAGAATGCCTTTAATTGCTTTCAAATTGACACTCCTACATTTCGAATTATGAGCACATCCTAGCAAAGTACTTTGCATAAAATCGTAGTAAGTATCGTCATAATTCTCAGAAGTTTTCGCGAAGGAAATTG